AGTTGCATTAAGGGTGTATGTAAGTTAAATGAATTTTCAAAGCCTGTTTCTAGTGTAGATGACTTCCGGTGCCAATATCTGAGAAAATTTCTGATTTGGCTCGAGCAATGGAACAGTATTCCAAACAACAATGGCCGCTTGACAAATGAGACTTTCACTGCTTTGTATTTAACAACTACAGTCATTTTAAAAATCATAGAACACTCCTTCCAGAAGTTTCCTGTTTCCTATATTTTAGTTGGTAAATTTTCCACTGATGCTCTAGAAAAACGGTTTGGTAATTATCGTCTTTTAAGTGGTTGCAATTATAATGTTTCCTGTGATGATGTCATCCATTCTGAGAAGAAGATCAGACTCAAACACATTATTAAATCACCATCACAATCATTTTCATTCACAGAAATCAAGAACAAATTTCAAAATCTATCATGTACACCAGGAAGTAGTGAAAATTTAGATCCTGACAAAAGTTTTGATATATTCTCAGAAATCTTTTGTAGCAATTATTTATCAAATTGTGATTTAGAAGACGATACTAAGATGTACATTTCTGGTTATGCCTCACATAGTATTTCTAAAAAACTTAATTGTCCCATATGCATTTCACTCATTGTAAAGGAAAAAGGAACAAATTTTGGAGGTGAATATTTTAATTATTTGCAAAGAGGAGGACTGTCTATTCCAACTGAATATGTCAATATTATTTTTTACCACATGTATGCCATTTTCGAATTTATAATAAACATAGATAGACTAGAAAATGAGTTTTTACATAGTACTCAGCAGAAAAATATTTTATGTCATCTAACCTTGCAAAGTATAGAATCAGATCTTGTTTATGAGGAATTTTCTCAAACTTGCTTATGTGGGAATAACTATAGAGATATACTATTAAACCTCCTATCAATTTTTTCAAATATTGTTTTAAATGATTATGTTAAATTTAAAAATAATACAAAATTAATTGACAAAGCAAACCTTAAACAAAATGTATCTACTTCTCGGGCCAACCGTAATAGTGTAACTGAATCCCCAGTCACAAGCTTTGATTTGCAAAAGCGGAGAAAGCTGAGCACCTTCAATGTGTGAATGATATATAAAATGTGCAATATCTTTTTTAATATCCTTTTAGTTATTATTTTGTTTTTAGTTTGTACACTGTTTTTTGTTTTGTTTCCAGTTATGTATTTTATTTATTTCTTATCTTTATTCTGAATATAATTTTTTTAGTAATTCCAATTTTTTTTAAATTTTAAGCTTCTCCTTAAAAAAATAACATTAATTTAGAGTGTTACGAAATTTTATAAATTATATCGGGTCTTGCCATAGACATTCGTCATTTGGTGTACATATTGACATTAAAAACAAAAAATCAATATTTTTTGACATGTAGGGTTTTGCCTTAGTACCACAGATATATGGCTCTTGGCAAAACCTCCCGATATAAATTGGTAACTTGGTGTGGTAATGCAATACCTCATTTATACATCTCAAGTACGATTCTACTCCTGTATACGTCTGCCAGCAAACAACTTAGTTATAAGAAGCACTACATAATTAGTATTCTTGTGAATTTCCCTGTCTAGGGTTCGCATAGAGTATTCACATTCTGTAATTTCGATTTTGAACTTTTGTTTAGTGAAATTGTTTTGTACTTTGTACTCGTAAATTTGAGATTCATCAAAAAAATGCTCGAATTGAAGTTTCTGTAAAAGCGCATTTTCACGGGTCGATCTAAGTTGAACCACCTGGGTTATTCGACCATGGTTCGATCTGAGTTGAAAGCAAAAAGGTTTACACGATAGGCGATGTATGTTGACCAAAAATAAAAACGACACCACTTTGCTTTCGATTCAATGTTCGACACAAATTGTTCGACTCAGATCGACCCGTGAAAACGCGCCTTAATAACGGCACACACCAGCTGGACGGCCGGACCCCAAAATGCCATGATGCGGTGTTGCCTTTTTCTCTTCATGGCTCGTTAGTTGAAGGTGGCGCTGCTCCAACAGTCCTGCGTACATGGCTCTTAACAGGAAATCCAATATCTGGCCAGTCGCCACGGCGGCGTTTTACCCTTCTACGACCATCGTGCGTACCTAGACAGAGAATCGCGATTCGTCGCTGACGATGACATTATGCCATTGTGCCTCCCAATGTTGCCGTTCTCTGCTCCAGTTCAAACGACAGTGGTCAGCAGTCAGAGGAAGTACTAACCCTGGACGGTATGAAACAAGTCCAAAGGCTCCAATGTGGCGATAGAGTGTACGCATAGTAACAGGTCTACCTTCTTCTCCGAACCATTGGTCAGCGATCTGACGCGTAGTAGCAAAACGGTCTCGTAGGGCTAGTTGTCTGAAGCGCGTATCTTGACGCTCTGTGGTACGCCTCGGTGGACCAGCTGGCCTTCTTCGTCTTCCTCTACCTTCTTCTACCCACACACGACACACACGCATTACCGTCATTGCAGGACCGTTAACACGACAGCCAATTTCGTGATAGGACAAACCAACAGGAGGCAATAATTCTACCACTGTCAAAGTCGCTAACATGGTGATTATTTGGATGTCTTCGAACTCGAGGCACTTTGTTTTGCTTAACTCTAGTAAATGAAAGGGCAATAACTAAAAATCTCTGTACTACTCAGCACTCAGAAACCGCTTTCTTCACAAAATCTAATAGATAACATTTTAACAAAACTAAACAAAAAAAAAGATAAAACGTTAACATTGTTGCCACAGCATGCTTTAAATATATCATGTCATTATGTTGCCAGAAAACAAGTCAAAGAACTTGTTTTTTTCTGGGTGTAACACTCCTAATGTCACTGTATATTTATACAGGTGATTCATGTCATTATTTTTATGGCGTAGACAATAGATGAAAAATAGCATTTGCTCAAAAATAGTGACTTGAAATATAGTACTTTTATTGCCGATTAACCACCTGTCGGTCTGTCTTCTCTGTCATGGCGTGATCTCAGTAAACCACTGCGCTGATTTTATCAAAACTCAGAATATACTGTATGGTTACAAATTTGGAAATGGGTGCAAAGAATGCTGAAGTAAGTAAAAAACAAACCTTGTAACACTCCTAATATCACTCTATATTTGTACAGGTGATTCATGTCATTATTTTTATGGCGTAGACAATAGATGAAAAATGTCATTTGCTCAAAAATAGTGACTTGAAATATAGTACTTTTATTGCCGATTAACTACCTGTCGGTCTGTCTTCTCTGTCTTGGCGTGATCTCAGTAAACCACTGCGCCGATTTTATCAATACTCAGAATATACTGTATGGTCACGAATTTGAAAATGGGTGCAAAGAATGCCGAGGTAAGTAAAAAACAAACCTTGTTTTTTAATGCTGTTCATATTTTCAAGAGTTTTGTTGTATGAAATTGTATACTTTTCAAAAACATTAACTCTTGCAGAAACCTATGCAATATCGGGGATCAACATCAAGTCAGTACACACAGTACAAGCATCGTAGGGGCTTGCGGCAAAAATAGTTATTTTTAAAACGGCCAAGAGAAAAACGTGGAAAATATTTTCAAGTTTTTGAATCTGAAAAAGTGATATTTCTGTGAATTTCGATATATTAACTTAACAAAAAAATACCTGATCTTTAAATTAGATAATAATCTGAACCTGTTTTGTTTGACAATTTTTGCTGATCTCTAAAAATAAAGTGGTGGGGGGTGTTAAAAGGTGTCCGTGTATCTTCGAGACGGCTAAGCCGATTTTAACAAACATGAGCTAGTTGAAAAGAGCAGATATAATATTTGAAGTTTTGTTATTTCACATGTGGCCGCTAGAGAACTTTTTTCGACATTCCGATGGAAATGGTTGATTTTCTCAAAAAAATTAAATCGGTAGGTATGATTTTTTTTATCACACATTTTTCTTTATAACTAGGAGAACAAATTAGTGCAACATGTGATACATAGTTGAATTCGGAGAAAAAAGATGATATCAGATACAGGGTGTACTTTTGTTCGGGACATATAAAAAAATAAAGGTTCAAAAACGAAACGTCGGACATAAAATTTAAAAACACCATAATGTTATGCCAATGAAAAAGTTCCATTAGTTTTTTGATATTTGTTAAAATAAAGTTAGAAAAAAATGAAAACGACTTGTCCAAGTTTCAATTTTTCCCAAATACCTCAGTAAGCCCTGAAATTTTCTCAAAGTTTCTCAACAGCATGTAAATACGTCCCAAAGAACGCAGCTTTTTACTAATTTACCCGAAGCTGTATCTCCCACAGGTAATGAGATCCTCATGCATAGGATCCTGATCGTGGACACCCTGTATATAATAATCTATTTAAAAAAATATATGTTTGGTATGGTACGAAGTTAGGGAACACCCTGTATATATTAAGATAATTTTCAAATATGCACTAGTAGCATATAATGGTTGCCTTGAAAGCAGATTTTTGATGTATTTTCCAGTTTGTTCATAAAATTGCTATTCATTTTCGTTGGGACATTCCGTATACATAGCTTAGTAGACAATGCCGTCAGTTAAATGATAAATTTATTCAAGTATTTCCAGAAAGATCAGTCTCATCAGACCGCAATTTCCTTTAGGAAAGTTGGGTTCCGCCCAAGGTTCAGTTAGTTGATCAGTTTACTGATTTTATATAGTACTGATACGAAATTTTTGGTTTCTTGATACAGTAGTCGATAACTTGTTTGCTGACAGCTAGTCCGCTGTCCGTACAGAACCTTCTGACAGTTCAGGGAACGCCAGTCAATCAGTGGCAGTGACAGGTATCAGAATGAGTCGAAACTATCTTCAGAACCAATATTGCTTCGCAAAAGACATTTACTGATGGATGACTCTTCTCTAATGGACAGTCTGAGGACACTTTCGCAACGGTGGGCTGTCGGCGATCTAACTCCCTTCTACCGCCAAGCTAAAGGCTATGCTCCTCAGAGTTCCCCTCGATGATGCCCCCGCGCAATGGCCTGTCGCCTCCCATCTAAAGGTGTCGAACTTCGTACATCCAGAATTGTCCGATACGACCGCTCCTTAAACAGTCGGATTAACAAAGTTTCTTTAAGCTCCTCATAGCAGCTGCCTTGACATTCAAGCTTTGCCTGTGCTGCTGATTTCGGAGTAAAAGAAACTATGAGCGATATACTAATCAGCAAATACTCGGGAATGTCCGAATTTTCTTCGGAAAAGAGAATGAAACCAAAAAACCTTAATTGTGTAGGAGAAACAGTGCCACAGTCAGTCGCAGAAAAAGAATCATTGAAATTCCGTGGTAACCATTGTAAATATAAGGCAGCGCCATATGGAAAACTAACTCTGTATAAAGAAACCTGTATACTTTTAAGGTTTGCTGGATATCAAACAGCCACCTTCAGGGATGTAGCTGATAGGTTCAATGTTTCCGTGAGTACCCTGCGTGCAGTTATATCCAGATTGACCAACTTTTGAGTAGTCTGGCACCAGAAATCATAAAGCGACCAACAGAAGAAGAAGAAGAGGAAGGATATAGGACGAAGCAGTTTTCTACAATAAAAAATAGAATCCTGGAATCGTCGGCATCATTGATGGAACCCACAAAAAGATTGCAAAAACCAGATGATGATCCGTTATCATATATTAAGGCGGCTCCCACGCAGTGAGTTTCAGGCCATTTACAAGGGTTTAGCTGCTTCGGAACTGACGCTCCATTTTTCTATATATTTGAATAAAATTTATACAGTATGTTCAGAAGACAATTGCCCAGTGTGCTGTGAAGCCACTTTTCTAAAAAAAAATTGCTCAAGAGTTATGGTGGGTGGAAGTGCAGATAATTGTTGTTCGACTTCTCGATTTTTTCAAAAAAACGAAAAAGTGGCTCTATAGCACCCTGTGGAGTGTTGTTTTTAGTGCACTGTGAAAATTTCATTGTAAAATATTTAAAAATGAAGCGTCAATTTTGAAACGCGAAAACCTCTGCAAATAGGCTTTTACAGGAATTTTATCCACTATCTCGTGCTGCCAGTCGAAGCGGCGGTATGTACGGACTAAGAAAGGACGTATTCAGATAATTTGTTGTCCCAAGTTAAACAGTAGCAGTTTTGATGTCGGTCTTTCGAGATAAACATAGGACCAGTAAGTGACATTTTTAATAGACTTCAATGAAAGAGGGGAAATTATTAGTCGATTTTGATCATTTTTTTTTATACAATAGGTCACGCTTCAGAGGTGATCCCACACAAATTTTTTGGAGACTGATTCAGCGCTTTTAAAAAATCAGAAAAAATGATTTTTGTTCAATCACTCCAATATGGATATCAAATGGAAGCACTTGTACAATACAGTAATACGAAAACAGTTTCAGATCAAAATGGCGGCCGTCACAAAATGGCGGATAACATACTTTAGCAAAATCTTGCTAATATGTCAAATAAGAGTCGTCGCTTTGTAGAATACAGTACTTCACTAATAATTTGATTCCAAGATTGCCGCCGTTTCGAAATTGCGAGTTACATATTTTTGTACAAAACCCCCAATTTACATATCAAATGAAAATACTAGACATGACATACAGAACTTTGTGACCAAAATTTTCCAGGTGGTTCCAGGGTCATTGGAGGCGGTAATCTTTTTAGTTAAAAATAATAATTATAGTGAACGCATTTAACACAAATAAAATGTCACTTGCTGTTTAGCTTTAACCTTATGAAGTATCGTAAGATAAACTTAACACGATAAGCGCCATGAGATATAATGCGTGTGTCGCACCTCATTTGGCACTTTGGGCCTCGTGACACACATGATATGTCTCACTGCTGGCAGTTATATTTGGCCGCGTAACGTACGACGTGTGCCATATGCTGATGTGATTTTCTTACGGGAACCAAGAGTACGTGGCCTGAGGGTCCAGACCTTGATGTTGATCCATGAATTCTGACTTTTTTTATGCTGTTTTTATGGAATTTCAAGATGGAAATGAAACAGCTCTACTAGTATGCAAAATTATACTCAATTGGAAATGAGTTGAAACATTAAAAAACACGTTGTTTATAGAGTTTTACAAAAAGAGGATATTCTACAAATCTAAAACAAAAAGCAAATCTTATAAAATAATCAAACATTCTCATTCAAAAATGAACAAAGTAATTCCACAGCAAATCAGTAAATTATGGTAAATGTCGATATTCTAACGAACACAAATATGGAGGAACTCTTATAAACTAAACAGATTGACAAACTCTTATGCAGGAATAAACAAAATATCGGTATAATTAAATAATAATACAGATAACTATGAATTACTACAACTACTATCTGATTCACTACCACTTGGAGAATACGCATCAGATTTGAAGATCCATGCCATCTGTCTCTGTTAGAGAATGCATATGCGAAACCTTGCTGTCATTTTTAAGCTAAAATAACATATAAAATATAATTATAATAGTAACTACGTATAGTCTAATTTATTGGCAAAATGAATGCTAAAATTCATAATTTTTTTGGAACCTACCTTTCTATCTGGAAACCGTCTTTTTTCCTGCGCGTATTTAAATGCGGCTTCTTCGAGACGCCACGTTTATTTCTCTTATTGTTCATTTTTGATACCTTGGTAAGAAAGACACTCAACAATAACAACATGATAGTACAACAAAACAATAACGGTAATAAGAGTAATAAGGGTTGGGTATACTAAGCGCCAAAATAGGGAAACAGTCGTACGCTAGATCGTATATCCAAATCAAATCCGACTCTGTGCTATATGCAAATTCAACCAGGCACGCGAACAGCACACCTCTGCGTATTACTATCCTTTTCTAACGTAGAGCGCTTGCCTTGTCACAACGCCGTCCTACTAGCGTTTCCCTATCACCCCCCCCCCCCCCCCCGATACCCCTCAGGAACTCTGCTTGACTGTGAGAGCGCCGTTAATAGAAAAGGATGCTCCTCTATACAGGTTGATGTGATAATAATCACCTCAAAATTCATCCATCAGACCTGTGATGTGGCAGAGAATAATGATGGCGCTGTATTGTTACGCTGTCAAGCCAATTATACGTATATTCGGCTATAAGTTGTCCCCACTAAAATTTTTTATATATATCTAATATAAAATTATCTCTTTCAAATACGCATTTAAAAATATATGTATTCCTATTTGATGCAATCTCAAATCTCTTTAAGCTATTAAAGTGATTCGTGCTCAATATTTTGTTGATTGGCCCTGTAATGGCAGAACTGTAATTCCTAGATTCAGTATGGAAAATCTGAACATTAGAGGACAAAACTTTCAAGAACCCTAATTATTACTTTTTTGTGAACACTATTTCCAAAATGTTTGATACAGTTACGAAATGCCGCATTACGAGATTACTCTTTTCCTACCAGTGTTGCTACTTGTCATTATGATCACCTTTGCCATCTCAGAGATATTTATATTTATCCGTATTTCTGCTTGTAGTATGTCTCATGGGCGAAAACGCGCCTTGACTTATGATTTTCCCTTGATAAGCTTTTGTATTTTCCAAGTCTCATTTCTTTTTGTCCATGATGGGAACTCTGTGAATCTTATAGGTATGTGAGCAGATCTAATTGCAATTATACTCAGCCGTTTTAGCTTTTTAGTCTACATTCACCCTTTGTTATTCAAAGACGTTATTAAGTCCTTGTAGTATTTTGACTTATTTCTTTCAGTGAGAGTCTGCACATATAGGGAAAATATTTAACCCCAGCCAACATCATTGTTATATAGGCTGATAGTTTGAGAAAATATCCTTGTATTTAGTACAATTTACTAAAATTCTTAAGTTAGACCGCCTGGGAATCCGCCATTTTCAAAAACAGTCGGCCACTAAAGTAGCTGTATCACAAAATTTTTAAAATTAGGCATTTCGTTTTTGGTTTTTTGATCAGCTTTGGGTTATACTGGAGCTGGAATATACATAATGGTTGTGTATGTTACCGGTAAACTGTATAATTCAGGTATTCTATACAATACCTAGGCAATGTATAGAATACCTGGGTAGCCCAGGAATTATATGAAATATGAAGATTATTATCCATTACATACTTTACCTAGGTAATGACTACAATTCCTAGCAACTGTATAGAGTACCTGCTGTTCCACCGGCAATGTGTAAAAGAAATAGATTTTGGTCTAAATTTATCTTTGCTCACCGGCATAAAATGACGGGCAAGTTATATTATCTAAAATCAACCTCATTAAAATTAACAATTACTGTGCTCCTTAATAATAAGCTTTATGAAAAGGGCACAAAAAAGCACCTTTCTTTATTTTTACATGAGGAATTATTGGGACATTTTTAAGTGCACAAAATCTTACTTTTAAGACAAGAATACTTTTTATTATCGTAGTATTTTTTGCAACTGCGTCTTTTACATACATTACCGGCAGCGCATTCGGTATTGTATAGAATACCTAGGCAAAGTATAAAACAAATAATATTTCATACATTACCTACTCGTTTTAGGTATTCTAAACATTACCTAGGTATTGTATAGAATAACGGATTATACAGATTGCCGGTAACATATATATGCTTCAAGGCTGGGAGACAACTGTTAGGGAACAGGGAACAAAAACCCTACTATTCAGGTTTTATAAAAACACATTTACAATACATTTTTCATGCATAATAATAGCAGACATTTATTCAGAATTCTTACTTTTTGCTTCTTCTACTTGTCGTTCGATGTGTGGAATCACGTTCCTCCGATTTACGTCCATTCCTTTTAAACGAGAATTGAATGGGAATTACTGAGCGAATCTACTTGACATTTTTTGGTGCTGTTATCCTTTACAAAACGTCTTCCTTAGTATCCCCTCTAGAGGAAAATTCAAGCACTTCGGACATTTGGACGATAAATCCTAGATCATTCTGGTTTCCAGAAAATCAAAATACCCGAACTTTACCAAAATTGCCTACCTCATCCGAATAATGATTGTGTGGATCAATTGTCAGTAATCGGTCAAAGCTCCCTCAGCCAACTCGTAATGTTCTCATGTACGCAACCAATCATATTAGCTAATTCTCCCGAAATAATTGTAAAGTCTGGTTTTATTAATGCAAGTTGTTCAAGGGGGTACTTAAAACATGGACGCTTAAAATGGGTACACCTATTTTTGTGGGAAAACTTAATTCGACTACACAGAATCAGAAAACGTATTTTTTGGGAATCAATCGAAAGTGTTGGCAGGAACCAAAAACTCTTCAAATAAGATGTTTAGGTATTTATAAGACCTACAGAATGAGATCACACGTAAAAAGTTTCGACTGACAGTAAAAAAGTTATGACCGAAAACCGAGGCAAAAAGCACGTTTTGGCACTTACTGTATTTCGTATTTGCTTGTAATTGAACAGATTCGCTACGATATTCGGAAAACATACGTTATTATTATATTTTTTCATACTCTTGTGTATACATATTAAGAGCTGAAATTTTTACACGGTCACAGATGGGCCCTAAAGTTTATAAAATAAATATTTCATACTGAAATGCGCTGTACTGTTTATAAAGTAAAATGAAGACACACTTGTTTCAAACTGTCTTAGACTAGTCACTATGTAGCATGTGCTGAATGGCTGCATAATTGATGACTGCATGACTTTGTCAAATAAGTAGGTCACGTAATCCAGTTTCTTTACGAAGAAATATAATTAACTGGGCCTTTTTTCTAAAAGTTTTAGTATAGTATACGTCTGTTTTCGAAATCTCGTTCGATTAAAACGACTGCGAGTTCAAAATATTGGAAAATAAACTCGAGAAAACGAAAAAACAGTCGACAAATATCAACCAATTTTAGGAGCCGACCATTTTCAAAATTGGGCAAAATGCTCGGAATTAACCCCTAAAGGCCTATTCATACTCAGCCGTGACGTGACAGTGCTGTGACCGGCACGTGATCCGCCCGAGGAAACTAAAAACATTCTTCTCGGAATTTGGATGAATTGATTCACACTAGACCGGCACGTGGAAGTGGCCGTGTTCTCAGTGCCCTCGACTACGCCGTACCGTGATCATCGCATTGTTTTGAAACGTTATTTTTCGATTTTCACGGCCGTGTTTTTATGTAATTTCGTGAATATTTTGATACAATTGATCAAAAACATGAATGATGAAAAAGTAATTGAATTTGTACGCGTACACAACGTGCTGTAGAACCAGTCAAATTCAAAATGCAAGGACTTCCGCTTTTTCTAGTTTCTTCGTCATCTCTCGTAGGTGTTAGACGGTCTGTGACTGTCGAACGCGGAGGTACCACCCGGCGGATCTCGTAGGCGGGGCCAGAATGTGTGCATGTTGCATGCACACGTGTTCCCTCGTCCGAGGGGCGTCCCGCTTTTCCACTGTGTTCCCCCTATAGCATCACGGTACCCCATGGGTTTTTAGGCCTGAGGCCTTCGTGGTAGTTGAAATATAAAAAAATCCAGAATAAATGCAATAATTGCATTCATCCTCTGAAAATTTTGCCATCTCGACCTCACGTGAACACAACTGCACTGTCAGAGCACGGAGAAAAATTTTGACCGGTGTGAATTGCAAACACTGTGATCTCACGTCAGCGAGAATCACTGGCACGTCACGGTACTGTCACGTCACGGCTGAGTATGAATGGACCTTAATACATTATTTAAAGTTTCAGCATTGTATCTTGTATAGTTTGTTATAAATGAGCATCTACGCTTAACAGTTACTTGATAAAACGAAAACTGTGGATTAGCTCACTTAATTTTATAAGCATCCTCTGCGGCTCTACGAGGTACCTAATTTGACGTATCGAAAAATTGGGCGTATTATCACAAACAAAATTTCGGATGTATTTCATTATTGTTGGTTAATAATTTACACAGCCAAGATATATGTTTTCAAAAATTATCTGCTATGATCCTGTTTGTAAGTTACATTCTCTATGGCGTGCAAAAAACTGTTTGATTGCAAGTACATATAATGTGAAAAAAATGTATTTATCCAAATTTGAAAAAAAAATTGATAGCTTAAAAAAGGAGCTTTGTGGATTTGAACCTCCGTCCTGTGGTTCAGAAATCACCGCTCTCTCCCACTACGCTACGACGCCTCTTGGTTTACTAGATCTTTATACCACCACACTTGACACTGACAAATGTCAAGCGAACGTTGAGTATATCAAATCTATTAGAAACAATTAGAATACGCTTGAAGACTATACAAGATACAATGCTGAAACTTTAAATAATGCATTAAGGACTAATACCGAGCAATTTTGAAGACGGTCAGTTCGCTTTAATTGGTTGATATTTGGCTACAGTTTTTTCGTTTTCTCGAGTTTATTTTCTAATATTTTGAACTAGCAGTCGTGTTAATCGTACGAGATTTCGAAAACAGACGTATACTATACTAAAGCTTTTAGAAAAAAGGTCCATGGAATTATATTCGAAAAGAAACTAGATTACGTGACCTACTTATTTGACAAAGTCATGCAGTTATCAATAATGCAGCCATTTAGCACATGCTACAAACTAACAAGGGTAAGACAGTTTGAAACATAATTGTCTTCATTTTGCGAGCTTTACTTTATAAACACGCGCACTTAGGTATCAAATATTTATTTTTATAAACTTTAGGGCTCATCTATGACCGTGTAAGAATTTCAGCTCTAAATATGTATAAACAAGAGTATGAAGAAATCTTGAAAAAAAAATGTTTTCTTCGCAACAAAACGTGATGGACACATCCGCTTTGTTTAAAATGTGTAAAATAACCTATGTTTCTCGAATATCGTAGTAATTCTGTTCAATTACTCACAAATACGAAATGTTTGAATTTGTTTAGGAGAAAAAAAGGTAACCCTCGTTTTTCGCATAAAAACAAGAATTATCTTTCGGAATGGTTTGTGATTTATGTCGGTAAGGTAAACTGGTGTATTTTGCTATAAAATGCAGTTTGAACGAACCCTGTATATTGCTCAGTAAGCTAGTAGTGATGGCCGGAAGACAGGTGTTTTGGGATAAACAAATAGAAATTCTCAAAGACTACTTGATCAATCGACTCCAATTTTGTTGTGGTTAGAAGTATGAAAAGCCTACGGATATGAAGAATTACAAGTTGCTGCGTGGAATTATCGTCACATCAGCAGCAAGTGACAAAACCTGCATTTTGCCTCATTTTTCATCCATAGCTTCTTTAATATTAAACGGATCATTTTACGTGCAGTCTCACTTTGTAGATTTCATAAATACATAAAAATCTTATTTGAACAGTTTTTCCATTCCTGCCAACACTTCCGATTGAATCCCAAAAAACCCGTTTTCTCATTCTTTGTTGTCGATTAAAAAGTTTTCCCACAAAAATTGGTGTACCCATTTTATGCGTCCATGTTTAAAATACCCCCTTGAACCACTTGCATCAATAAAACCAGACTTTACAATTATTTCGGAAACAAGGGGTAGTTTCGTCTAATATGATTAGACTAATAGTCAGTGACAGCTAACTGAATAAACTAGTTCATGACTATCAGTTTGCTGACTGTCAGCCAATAGGTTGTAGGATAAAAGCAATAGTGTGTGGACTATTCTAATAACGCATCTTCAAATATCAAGAAATTTAAATTTCCGTTAGGGGGGTTAAAAATCCCCCCATTTTTTGATGATAAGATTATTTTGTTTGGAATAGTTTATTATTTCTAACATCGCGTATTGATTTGGCTTTGTTGAAAAACAAAGCGTCTTCCTCCTGCCATGCATTGCGGCTTACTGAACGGGTTTCAGCTTTCAGCAGCCCCTTATTGTCATTCAAAACGGTGGACTTTGTACGGGCTGCAGATCTGCAGCACCATCTATTGGAGAGTAGCCGAATAGAAAATATATTCGTCCATACCTTTCTTAAATGAGTTTAAGGTAATTCTGTGCATTTTAACTAGACAAATGTTAAAAACTGTGATATACAACTTTTAAAAGTAAAAAATCCTTCAGTTGGACTACCATCCCATAGATCAGAGTTCCCCAAACTTTTTTGTGTCGTAGACCCCTTGCCATGTTTTTCCGTGTTGGGTAGACCCCCTACTTGCCTGATATTGATTTCCTGTAAATTTCTAACTGTAGTGAAGTTTACTGTTAAAAACTTAAAGTAAAAACACATGTTAATTTATACATTCATTAATTGAATTTAAATTAAAACTACTCAAAATAAAAATTTTTATCTGTTATGTAAAATATACGTAACATTAAATAAACAGGTGTCTGACCAATAAGGGCCCGCATTGGGAATAAGTGCCCGCATTGAAAAAAAAATAAGAGGGATAAAATAAAATAAAAAGTGAAAAATAATAAAAAAAAAGTTTTTTACTTAAAATAGCGAGTTCGTTTATTAATTATAACATAAACGTATGTTCTACAATAATTTCACTGTTAGTTTGATTAAATTCCGCTTCTTATACGTTTAAGTTATCTAAAAATAGGCAAAAAATTAACGAATTTTAGTGTGTACCCAGCCTTGAATTTTCAGGATAATTTAAAAAAAATATTTTCTATAAAGGGGGGTTCTATAAAAAAATCAATGCGGGGTACTTATTCCCAAAGCGGGCATTTATTGGTCAGACACCAATAAACATAAAATAAACTATAAATAAAATAACATAAGCAATAAGTCAATATTTTTAGTGAGATGGATGAACCTGATGCTTTAATAATAAATTATCAACATTTATCGTCAATTTTGTAAGGGTTAATCTTAAATCTCCTCGGCTAATGATGTCCAGTCTGTTTCTTTTTCTCGTTAGCAGATTGGTAACAGCGCTGAACCCCCTTTCCACTAGGTATGACGATGGAAAGAAAATTAAAAATTTCCTCGCTATATTCCATAATACGGGAAGTAACAGGTATGTTGTTTTGCAGCCAGAATTGCTGATATCCGTTTTTAAACTGAACCTTAGGTTCTTCGTTTGTACTTAGTTTAGTCAGTTCCTCTTGTATTATGACATTCGTTTCTTCTATGTCACCATATGGATTAATTATCCACGGTGGTATTACCATAGTCAAAATATCCTCAAACCTAGATTCAAAATACTGAATAGAGGGCATTTAAATGTTGAACGTAAGTTGAAACGTCGTCTTCCTGGCAGCTTGTCTGTGACAAATTGAGGAACTGAGAAAATTCGCCCCGTCCAATATTTTGCTTCATTAGTTTAACTCTGGCAAGAAACGCTGATAAGATAGACTTTGTTTTAATCAAATTTAAACTGTCGCCTTGGAATTGCAAATTAACCATATTAAATTTTGTAAACAAATATGTTAAATAGGCGATGTCTGTTTTCCTCTTCATTAAATTTTCTTTTAAAATTCTATCTTTAGTATCCAGAAATTCTAAAATAGTATCAAAAAGTGCAAAAAATCTTGTCAAACATAAGCCTTTCGATAGCCAGCGTACTTCAGTGTGAAGGAGTAATTGATGAAAGTGTTCGTCATTTTCTTCACACAACTGCGCAAATAACCGCGTATTCAACGCGTTGCTTCGGATTCGGTTTACTGCATCAATGACTAAATGAAGTGATTCATGCAATCTAACACTCAAATTTTTAGCAACTAAATGTTGTCGATGGATGACGCAATATATTGCTAACACCCCTGACACATGTTGTTTTAAATAGCTTATAAATCCACGATAACGTCCAACCATGGTAGCTACTGATATTATATTTGATAAAGGAATTGCTTTTTCAATGAAGTAATCCTTCAAAACATGAAATATTGATTCACCTTTAGTGTCGGTTATCAAAGTTCTTGCGAAGAGCAGTTCTTCGTAGATTTCTTGATTCATAATAAAACGAACATATGCCAATAATAATGCTGCATTATCAGGTAAAGTTGACTCGTCCAGTTGTATAGAGAAATGGGTCGTTTGCAAATAATTATATAAGAAGCTTTCAATATCAGAACTCATTTCATCAATACGTTTTTCAACAGTATTGTTGCTTAAGGGAATTCTTTTAATGATATCAGATGCAGGTTTGTGTAAAATAGTTTTTAAAACCTCTTCAACGGCTGGCAAAATTAACTTCTCTCCTATAGTATGCGGTTTTCCGGATTTTGCTATAAGTAACGAGATATTGTAAGACGCCCGCAAACCATCATCATTTCTTTGTGACGTCGAAGCGAACATTCTGTCCAGTGTAGGTCTCTTCTGAAATTTATCTTTGAGTGTTTGAAAGTATTTCAAATCTTTCTCTGTTTTATCAGGGTGGCATCTTCTCAGATGATCTTGCAGTTTAGCGTCATTGCCCAAAACTTTGTTGCATAAAAGGCACATACGCGATTGTTTGTCCGGCAATGTTAATTGTTTGTGAAAATGACATGCATGATTACTGGTTCCAACAGGATGGCTCCACATGCCACACAGCTCAAGCAACAATTAATTTATTGCAACCATTGTTCCCTGGACGACTGATATCGAAAAATGGCGATTTTGACTGGCCACCGAGATCACTTGATTTGACGCCACCAGACTTTTATTTGTGGGGCTATTTGAAATCCAAGGTATACGCCAACAAGCCAAGGACTCTAGTTGCCCTCAAGAACAGTATTCGTCATTATTGCCGCCATATCCGCCGAAACATTGGCCAACGTGATGGAAAACGCCGAAAAAAGGTCACATTTGGTAATAAAGGCCAAAGGCGGCCATCTGCGCGATATCATTTTTGAACAGTAATTACAACAAATCTCCTTGGATCAAAATTAAAGACTTTTCAAATGAACAAAAAAATATTTTTGAACGTATTTTTCATAAACAAATGCTTCTGCTTTAAATGGCCCACCGTGTGTACTGTAGATCATTTTGGATTAATAAATGAATTGAAATGAATTTGTCCCGAAATCAAGATTTTCCGTTGCGCTAGGTTTGTCGGTTTGCCGAGCACCCAAAGATAGGCACATGACTTCTAAAACATTCTGATATCCATGGTTTGAAGTTTTATCTTGACTTCTACACGTATTTCGGCATTGCTGAAGGATTTTCGGGAAAGTGACTTTTGACCAGGAAAAAAGGCTGAATTCACCATAGTACGACAGTTACTGATTGCTGTGCGGCTGAATGTTATCTCGCGCATGCCACATTTTTTTAGTGTTTGGTTTTACCATATAAATAAAATAACAATTTAAGTAAGATGTCATATTTATAAATTAAACACCAGCCGTAACAAGTTGATATTGATTCTGACCCTTATATAATAAGTATCCTTGTAAATTAAGAGTTTGCAAAGCATGATAAAACTTCTTGTTATCCATGCCCAACTGCTCGCTGAGTTCTTTGAGCTCTTTAGTTCTGAAGACAGATTTTGCTTCAGCATCCGATTTTCTTTGTATTGAGGTGAGCAGTCTCACCACCTAGAATAAGGAAGAACATTTTTTTTCAGATAAAAAAAATATAGCAAACCAATCAATATAATAGTATTGTGCAATCTTTACCTGGTTTTTAGTACTCATGCCAGTACCAATTTGAGACCTAGACTTATCTAAGATCCCGGTACTATCAGTAAACACATCATCTAAACTGAATTTCATTATTTCAATCACATCTTTGGCGTCATCCTTAGTAGCTTCCTCTCTTAATTCAACCTTTGCTCTGGCCTATAAGTTATAGAAAATAATATACTTAATATATTGAGTGAAGAAAAAAGGGTAAACACCTACGTATGTTTATTATAATTCAAGAATTTTTTAGATATCGGGTTATCCTGCCATGAACAACAAGTGATAAAATGGTCAGGCTTTTCTGTCAAGTTTTTGTGGTAGCTGCGTGTATTGTTTGGTGAAAAAGAAGCATTCAGTTTTCGTACATTTACGGTGTCAGTTAAATGTTAAATTTCGTGTAGCTTATCGAGAAGCCTTTTTGTGATTGCCTAGAGTGCGTCGAATTCGCCGGGTGTCCCAGATAAGTGACTTTGAGAGGGGTCGAATTGTCCGGTTGCATGAAGCCGGTCTATCGATAAAAGTTTCTAGGAGGACCAACAGATCCTTGCGCAGTATACTGCAGTGTGAACGAGCGTGGACTCAGGGAGGCGGAGGACAGCGAGCGAGGAGTTCTGGACGTCCCAGAGAGATCACAAAGCGACAAGATCGCCGGTTAAGACTTCTGGCTCCGAGAGACAGATTCTGTAGTACTCGTTTGTTTCAGATTTATTTAGCATTAATGCTACAATATCCATATTACACAGTATGTCACAAAATATATTACGTCTTCAAGACTACATATTTTTATACAAAATTTCACTACTATGAATTCTGGTTTTCCATTAGATGTTTTTTCAATTTCCCTTTGAACATTTTCAAACTGACACACATCTTGATATCATTACTTAATTTATTAAATTCGTACAATCCCTTTTGAAATACTGACTTTCTTGTTATATTGCTACTGCAGTTTTGTAAATGAAAGTCTATACTTCGTCTAGTAGAATAATTGTGGCACTCATTGTTCAATACAATAAAATTTTCCAAGTGATTTGGTAGAAGATGATTTTTTAACTTGAATATGAAAATGAAAACCAAGTAGGCTATGAAATTTTTGATATTTAACCATTAGCTTAATGACATTTATTTCGTGAATGATGTGGATATTAAAGTCTCTATTTTTACTGGCCGTCTTCTTTATCTATTCGATCTCTACGCTCCGCTACGTACAGTACGTGTCACAAAACCTGCTGCGCCCTGGCTCACTCCTAACTTGAAAATGATTTTTCAACTCAGAGATGAGGCATTCGCTGTCTATCAGCATAACAGATCTGATCAGAATTGGGCCAGCTACAAAGATTTGAGAAATTATGCCCTTGCATCGCTTAGAAGAGAGAAAAAAGCATATGTTATATGTCACGTTTTCGGAATCTTAACTCTAGTCAAGCTTGGAAACACCTGAGGAGGATGAATGTGGTAGCCCAGAAACATGTTGCGATACCTCCCAGCCTCCTTGAGCCTAACATTTTAAATAATTATTTTCTTTCAATTTTCCAGACAGCTGCAGCTGATACAAATTTGATTGATAGTGTCTCTAACTCTTATAGCGATAGACGCCATACACCGGATGCACCTCTGTTTGCTTTTAAACTCCTTACTCAGCAAGACATCGTCAATATAATCTCTCACATTAAGTCTACGGCATGTGGCTCTGATGGTCTAACTTTAAATATGGTTTGTTTATGTTTGCCTGATACCATAGACCATATAACTCACATTATTAATGTCTGTCTCGAAACAGGTTACTTTCCTGCCAGTTGGAAAAATGGTATTATTATTCCAATAGCTAAAACTAATCATCCAGAACAATATTCGGATCTCAGGCCAATTACCTTATTATGATTTCTATCAAAAACACTCGAAAGAGCTGTCTACTCACAACTAGTGGAGTTTTTCGAACAAAACCACGCATTTCCTCTACATCAGTCAGGTTTCAGAGCTGGTTACAGCACTACTTCGTCTTTATTACATCTTACTGATTCCATCATTCACAATTTAGATAATCACATCAACACCGTCTTGGTACTGTTAGATTTCTCGAAAGCCTTTGATATGGTCAATCACCAGATACTACTGAGTAAGTTATCTCATTATGGAATGTCAGATATAGTTCTAAGGTTCTTTGAGTCATACTTGCTAAATCGTCAACAAACAGTGAAAACTGATCAGGGAATTTCCTCCTCTGAGCCAGTTCCTTCGGGAGTTCCTCAGGGCTCAGTATTAGGTCCCTTACTATATCTGATTTATACGATCGATCTGCAAGACTGTTTAGTCCACTGTAGTATGCAAACTTATGCAGATGATACTCAGTTAGTGTTTGGTTTCGATCCATCAAAGGTTGATGAAGTTTCTTTTAAAGTTAATTTAGATTTGGCTAACATCGGTGATTACTGTAACAAACACTGCTTGAAGATCAATCCTAATAAAACTACTGCAATGTTGTACTGTTCGAAGAACTCCTACCATGAAATGAAGCAGAGGATTTGTGTTTTTTTTAGATGAGACACTCATCCCTTTTGTGGATTACGCCAAGAATCTCGGTGTTACCCTTGACTTAAATATGAGATTCGATCGGCATGTCTCTTTCTTATCTAGAGTAACGTATTTGCGTTTGAAACACCTCTATTCTAATCGATACATCTTGAATTTTAAAACCCGCAAAAAGCTTGCTGAAAGTCTTGTGTTGTCTGTCATTTCTTACTCTCTTGTTCTGTATTACCCATGTTTAGACTACCTCCACAAAAGGAAACTCCAGAAAATTCAGAACAGCTGTTGTAGGTTTATTTTTGGATTGCGCAAGTTTAGTCGCGTCTCAGATAAAATCAAAGAACTCAACTGGTTACGAATTGATAAGTTATTTTTATATCTTTTGACCGTCTTCACGCATAAAGTTCTATTATCTAACAGACCAGCTTACCTCGCTAGCAAACTAGTTCACCGAGGTAGTTTTGTTACCAGAGCGCTTAGATTTAATGCTAATTTTAACATGCCTCCTCACAATACCTCGGTCTTTGAAAGAAGTTACACCTATAATGTTGTCAAGCATTACAATGCAGTCAACAGTGGCTATCGATCCAAACAGGTTGTTTCTTTTAAGAAATTAATGAAAAGTCAGCTGCTGGAGTCCATTTAGTTCAGTTTTTCTTGTGCTCTTTTTTTTTTGTTTGACTATTTTCTACTATTTTTGTTTCAAATTTAAAACTCTCGCAATGCTATCTGCATTTGTCTCGTGCAATCAATGTTGTCATTCTTATGAATTGTATTTTTTTTTTTTTTGGTATGTTATTATTTTGTTTATGTGTGTAAGTATTCTTTTTTCCTGTTGTGGGGTTGAGTGTATGAGTAGCCGTCTGGCTAAACTTCGCCTCACTGCAGTTAATAAAGGCATTATTATTATTATTATTATTCTTTCAGCATAAAATTTATTCTGGTATATTTGTTTTTATTTAAGATGATTCTCAAAGCTTTATTTTGTAATATTTGTAATTTTGAAAATAGAGTTTCATTTGCAGTGAACAAAATAGTCAAACAATATAACAAATAAGGAACAATGATAGTGTTGTACACAATTTTTTTAGAATAAACGCTTAAGCTATGCGAAATTTTATAAAAGTAATTTATTTTCTTGGATATTTTTTAAATAATATACGAATATTCATAGTGCCCTTCAAATTTTAATTTACCGTATACGTATATGCCCAAATATTTAAATGATTCGATTGACACAATTTTTTCATGATTAATTGAGTTTATTTACATTTATCCAATTTATTACGTTTTTCATATCATTATTTAACAGCTCTATTGCAGTTTCAATGTCTTTATTTGATATATGTATTAATGTATCATCAGCAAATAGTTGAATTTTGCAGTGTTGTAAAATATCAGGAATATCGTTAATATATAAAATAAATAGTAATGGACCTAATTTGCTACTTTGTGGCACACCTACCGAAATGTTTTTAATGTTTCATAATGTAATTTTAGTTCTTTGACTTCTATCGATTAAATAATTTTGTAATAAGTTGAATACTGAACCTTGAAATCCATAGCAATGCAATTTTATTAACATTTTCTCCCTGTTAATAGTCTCGAATGCTCTCTTGAAACCTAAGAACAATTTTACTGTAAACCTTTTTTCATCCATATTTCGCCTCCATTCTTCTACTACCATTTGAATTGCTGTTTCAGTAGAATACTTTTTTCTGAATCCTGCTTGAAATTTTGTCAATATCTTATTTTCTTCAATATATTCAATGCCTTGTTCATATATGATTCCTTCTAAGAGCTTCTCGACATCTGGCAGTACATTAATTGGCCGCATGTTTGTATATAACTCAGAATTTTGCACTTTTGGAACAGGAGTAATTGTAGAACATTTTAATTTTGAAGGAAATTCGCCATACACTAAACAGTGATTCACTAACAATAATAACATTCCTCGAATAATGTTGAAATATTCCTTCATAACCATTTTTGAAAGATGTTCACAAGGATTTCTATTCGATTTCAATCTTGTAATAGAAAGATGGCTGATATTTATTGTTTGGAATTGTCTCATAGAAGAATTTTAAGTAACTTGCATGTGACATAGATTTGGATCCCCATATTCGATTGATTCCACTATCTCATTTATACTTTCTATAAAATAAGCGTTCATTCCTTCTGCAATCAATATCGTTTTTGTTACACCATCTTCGAAGCACATTCTTGATTCTTCCTACTGGGAGATACAATATTTTTTAGTGTCTTCCACATCATTTTACTGTTATTTTTATTGCTATCGATTTTGTTTTCATAATATTTTTTCTTTTCGCTCCCAAGATTTGTTAAACAGTTGTTTCTAATCATATTAGCAAATTTCGCCGAAATAATTGTAAAGTCTGGTTTTATTGGTGAGCGTTGTTCAAGGGGGTATCTAATACATGGGCGCATAAAATGGGTGCACCAATTTTTGTGGGAAAACTTTTTATTTAAAAACAAGGGATGAGAAAACGTGTTTATTGGGATTCAATCGAAAGTGCTGACAGGAACGAAAACACTTTTCATATAATATTTTTAGGTATTTATGAGACCTACAAAATGAGACCACACGTAAAAAGATCCGACTAATAGCA